GAAAAATCCGCAGACAATTCATTGTGTAAATAATGATCTAACAATGTGACTCAATGATGGACTGTTTTATATATATATATATATATATATATATATATATATATATATATATATATATATTAGGGATGTCAGATCGGTCAATTTTTGCTAATCGGATACTCGGACGTTTTTCCGATCGAGTACCCAGGTACTCGGTAAAAATGTAATACAAGTACATGTATGTTAATTTTCTTGAGCCACGTTAAGCTCTGTCAAACCCCAAAGCTGGTTTTATCACGTTTATAAACGTATATAAACATAGATTCCAACGGAAATTATTTTTTGGTACTAAATTTATTTATAAAATGAACACAAACGACACAATTTATACATCAAAAAATACAAATGGTTTACAGTTCTTGTTTAGAATCTATTTGATCAACGCAAAAGGAGGACAATCTGTTACGCAGGTTTGTGATGATTAAACTAGGGAAAGAGAAGGAAGGACGTTGTTGGGATCGCTAGTCTAATATTTTTTTCATAAGTTGGTTGTTTCCACGGTATACACTAAACCTACTACACAAACTGACTTTCAACATTTTTTTTTTAATCTTTCGTTATTTCTAAATATTTCTTCACTTTTGAAGTGGGCATAGGCATTTCTATGCATGTCTAAATTCACTGCCGTATATTAAGTAAATAATTTAAAAATGATTTGAAGATAATATACCATACTTAAACGACGTACAATGAAAACAATCATTGAAGCCATTCAAAAATTAAGGACAACAATAGGTGAGTATAGCCGTGTACCAGGTGATTGGTCACTAATTACTGTATATATACATGTACACAGCCACAGGCAATAACGGGTGTTTTACAGGTGTGGATGACGACACGTTATGTACCGTATGCATATTTAAGTTATTTTTTGATAAATTTTTGATAAAAAAATATATACTTTGAAATAAGAAAAATATACATCCGAGTAACCGAGTATCAATTTTAGTATTCGATATTCGGACGTTCGATCGAGTACCCGGTTAACCGGGTACTCGTTGACATCCCACTATATTTATATATATATCTTTGAATTATTTACAAACTGGCAAAATTTAAAATATGTATTAGTCTAGTTTGAGTAATAAAAATTAACACATTCAAATTTTTGAATTTTGAGTCTGTTTCTTTAGGCCTGGTCCGGATTTGAAAAAAAAAAAATTAAATTAAAAAAAAAAAAAAAAAAAAAAAAAAACAGTCCTATACCCCTCGATGAATATAGCCCTTTGTGCAATTTGAATATGAGATAATATTTCTTTCTTTCTGATCTCTATTTTGATTGTAACATAACGAAAATAACATGGGAAAGGGTGTACGGACTTTCCCTTTCATTTGCAAGCAAGGAACTTATTGATCACTGATCAATACATTTAAATATAATAATTTACTTTTATATTTTAAAACAATATCGTTATCAATAATAGACACCTTGAAGTTGTGTTTGTTTTCTAAAACATCGCTCTGATAAATTTCAAGTTGATTAAAAACAGTAAAAAAAAATGCAGAAAAGATAAAACGCCCACATATGTTCAAATCAAACACTCGTCATAAGAGAGTGCTTACATGTATATAATTATGTATATATACAAGCTCTAGATCTGAGTTCTAGTAGACTAGCTCTTTACGCAAGGCACATTAAAATGAACTCTTATGAGGTATGTGAGTTTTATATTAGATGCATGTATATCTAATTCTTTTTCTGAAATCAAGTTCTAATAAGACAAAATGTATTTATTACTTTTTGTTTGCTTTTACATCCATTCAAGAATATATTATTCATACTAGGACGCCATCAAAGGTTGCAAATTTAAACCTCTATTCTGCACTTTTAGTCAGTAAACATTGAATGGTTTTCTAGCCAACACCTACACTTCTAGTCGGAACCTCAGTTTATAAAAATCTCATCTGAGGAACCCGATTTCAAGTGCTGCTCTGGGATTTTATCACGAAACGTTAGGATGAGCTTCTAACTCCGCGATTCTCGAATAAAGTACGACTAATATAATATAATATAATATAATATAATATAATATAATATAATATAATATAATATAATATAATATAATATAATAATATAATATAATAGGTAATTATTATAATTATTGACTGAGTATCGAGAAATATGCCAGCCTGAGGACTTTGCACGGGCAAGCTCGTTCCGCATCTGCGCAAATACCGAGGACAGGCATAATTTCCTGATATTTAATCAATTACCTTCTTATTATAATAATCTGTTTTAATACATTTTTACCTACTCAAATGAAGGCTTTTCTCTGCATTCCTGGTCATAAATATCCCTACAACTTTAGTTACAGATATTTATTATGTCAAATGTACATGTATGTGATGTCATTACTCCCCGGGCATAACACTGCTCGCATGGATAGATATGGCTCTGTAAAAGCCCGGGCTCTTTTCATATAATTTAAAAAAGAAAGTCTCAAAATTTTTTAATACTAAGAAAAATTAAGACATAACATAAAACCCTTTTTTTCAAAATTCTTGTATTTACAAATTTTATTTATTTTCTCAATTAAAAAAGTAATTATAAAAGTTTATTGTAAAAAATAGCATCTCCTCTCTCCATGCGCGCTTTTTAACACAACAACAAATAGTTCGGCTGATTCTGCGGCCAATATGAGAAAAAGAAACATAAAAGATTTAATTGGGAACTCAATTTAAAATCATTTGGATGTGGTAATAAAATGATGAACATGCTTGAAAAATATTTGTACCAAAGGAAAAATTGAAAGTTAGATTACCATATAATGCATGTTAGAGAATGTTTGCAGTTTCTGGTATTAATTGATCAATGAATGTATTCTTATATCTTTGTGGAGTGAGCATTCAAGTAATAAAGTGTGAATAAATATCAAAGCATGTTTTGATATAATGAAATATTTGATATATATGAAATAAAAGTCATGAACAGAACATCAGAAAATATGCTCGCCAGAGGTCTAGATCTTTGCGCGGTAAAACGGACAGAGCTTGCGAGGTTCACATCCACGCAAAGACCGAGGGCGCTGACATATTACCCGTTATTATATTATAATATATGAATAATACCCATCTCTCTGATTGGCTGAGATCCAACAGTGTAAGAAAAATTACTACGTTTTATTTATTTACCTCCGTGTCACCTTCCAAGTGGATTTAATTTTTTTTCCACATTGGACTAATTTTTTTTTTACTTTAAATGCGATCTCCCCGAATTAAAATTTTGAGTAGGAAGAATCCTCCTCTTTTTTGGGGGGGGGGGGGGAGGGGGGGCTAGTGAAAGATTTTTTTTTTTCAATTAAGTTGTCTTTTTTTTCTTAAATTATAATACCATTTTTTAAAAAAAATAAAATAAAATACTCGTGCCTGAGATTTATTTTTTTTCTACATCGAACTTAATAGATTTAAAAATTCTAAATTAATACAACGGGTGATGTTTATTTTAACTTCTTTTTCTCTCATTGCTTTCGGCTATGACTTCAGCAAATGTAAAAAGTAAGATGACATGGATTGCTTAATGAGTTCTCATTATTTAATCTTAATGAATCATATAATAAAAAGACTTATTGTTGTTTATGAGGTTAATACAATGAATTAGCCACCTTTGAAGTACAATATTCACCTCGACCTTCGGGCTCGGCGAATATTGTACTCCTCAGGTGGCTAAATCATCGTATTGACCTCATAACAGCAATGTTTGTATGATATAATATGATATGATGTGATGTGATATGATATAATAATATAATATAATATAATATTATATAAATAGTGCACGTTTTTGAGGGTAACAGTTGAAATTGACACCCCAAGGAAAACCATTGTCAACCGACGCGTCAGCGGAGGTTGACAATGGTTTTCCGAGGGGTGTCAATTTCAACTGTTACCCTCAAAAAGTGCACTATTTATTTTATTATACTGAATGTCTTATTGATTTCGGATGTCATTAAAAAATTCGGAGATCGTCGTTAACTTCACGCTTAGAAAGCTTTCAAACTCCCAACTTCTATTTTTCTCAATAGGAAAGCTTCGTAAATAATTTACCAACCTCTTTATTATTTGTTTGCTACTCAAAAAGTCCTTTATCACCTAAAGTTTGCACTCGCAAGGATGTTTCGTCTGTCGTTTGTCTTTTTCAAGTAAGCCACATCGGACGCAAGCTTTTATTGACGTCGTTTGTTCGGCTTCTTTCAAACGCACAACCGACGTTTTGAGAATTCTACGGTGAACCGTACGCGCATGATTTGAACGCATGTGATATTTTCGTAATGTTACCCGTTGTCAAGTGTGTTGCTAACGCTGAGGGTAATATTACGGATTGTTAAATGTGTCTAAACCAATCAGATTTTAGTATTTAACATGAAAGTATAATAAAATGTAATATTGTATAAATATTGCATGTAGTTGAGTGTAACATTGGAAATTTTCACCCCAAGAAAACCATTGTCAACCGAGGCACAGCCGAGGTTGACAATGGTTTTCGAGGGGTGAAAATTTTCAATGTTACACTCAACTACATGCAATATTTATTATAGTATATTGAATGTTTTATACAAATTACATTACACTTTGCGCGCATAAATTCTGCGCAATCAATGTTTTTTGGGAATTTCACCCGTCGTCAAGCAATGTTGACTGTTGCTACACTGGAGGGCGTGGTTTCATTATTCAGAGGGTAATAGTGTTTTTTAACAAATGTTTCTCGACGAATCAGATTCAACTAATTTACATGAAAGTATAATACAATATAATATAATAAATATTATTTATTATTAAAATGATCCGGAATTTTGATGTTCTCAGGCGATCTTTTCTGATGTGTACTTCAGAGCAAGATTTATTTCAATTTTTTATCAGTTTCCATGTATATGAGACACTTAATTTAAGAAACATTGTCAAACTGGGTCGTTCTTACTGTTGAATGCAATGATAAACTGATATTTTATGGTTTTCAATTTCAGATTTTTCTTTTCCTCTTAATCATATACACCGGTGGTACTTATGCAATAATGTATGAAGATTCCGCTAAAGCGCAATGTGGTCAAGGTATGTGATTTATTTTAGTGTTGAGTAGGAAGGGGAGAGAGAGGTAATCAATGTGACTATGTTTCTGTTAAAAATTAACTGAGACCAATATAATAGTACTTTGTTATACAAATCCATCGATAAGGTTATATTTTTCAGCGAATATGAAGTCCACAGTTAACTAAACAATTCCAAAAACTATTTTTTTTTAATTAATAAAGCAAATACATGTAGTATCCAGGTAGTAAAAATAATTTCCAAATTGACATCTCAAAAGCAACAGCTAGACTCCTTTAAAAGTAGGGAAAATAAAAATGAAAATCTGACTCTCTTGAGCCGGATGGGATTTGAGATGGGAAGGAGGGGGGAGGGGTCTGCAGGGTCCCAAAGTTTTCACAAAATATTATATGTTACGCCTTTGTCCCATACTGAATAAAATGTATATACTTACGAAAAATATACATCTTTTGATTACAAACTCTTTTATTATTTTAGAACTCGAAGGAAGTGTGGGAACAGAATTCCTTATTCTTATCATGGAAAATATCGCCCCTTCTAGTTCCATCTTCATAACGACTAAAACTTCAACGACAGTCAACATATCTACCTCTGAAAATCTGCAAAGCAACTTGAAATCCTCAATTGATCAAGAAACGTTTGTCAATTCTTCCGCAAATATTGTTCTTCCACAAGGAATACAATGTTCTTATTTTGAGAAAGAACCTAAAGCAGTTTTAGTCCATTCTCAGGAACCAATAAATGTCCTGATATCAGACAATAACAACCCTCTTATCGAGTTTAGAATCGACACAACGACTGTTATACCAGTGGAGAAACTTGAAACGTCGTACATCATTTCTTCTTTTAATCAAGATGACAGCCATTTCGCAATTGCAGCATTTGATGACGACACAAATGTTACAATATCTCTGAAAATATCGAATAATGTAAACATTTTAATCTCTGGGCGAACATACGGGGACATGGATACATTTGAACTATCCTTAGATAGACTGGAAACTTTTCAGATTGGTGCATTGGCAGATTTTTCTGGAACACGAATTGATTCTAACAAGCGTGTTGCCGTCTTTTCTGGTACTGTTTGTCTAACTGGAGGTGATGGATTTTGTAGCCCTGCCCTTGAACAAATGCCGCCAATCAGTCGCCTCGACGATATTTTCATTGTTCCCCCAAAATTCAATGCAAAAGTCATTAGAGTGTTGTCTCCAAGAAACACAACTGTACAAATCTCTAAGGGAAACGCTACCAAGAGTCAGGAAATATACCAGAATGTGCCATACGATATCCCCATTGATGAAGAAGAATGTATCGTTATTGAGAGCGAAAGTTCCATTTTGGCTACAATGATAGCATTTGGATCGACTCCAGGTCCTTTTATTGCGATTGTTCCAGGAATTAACCAATACCTAACAAGATATAAAGTTCTTGTGGCCGAGGGGTACCCGATAAGTAACGTCGCCATTATGATAGAAACGGAAGCCAAGACCGATCTTCTATTGAATAACCAACCAATTGAGAACTATACTATATTCTATGAAAAACAAGTACATGTTGGCTGCATTTCCTACGCCATAATAATTGTAGAATTTAAAGGAGGTCAGCTGATTGTTGAGTCGGAGAAAACACCGTTTGGATTAATGGTGTATGGTCAAAATACGTATGACGGGCATGGATTTGCTGGAAATATAATCTCAAGTTTGCTTTGCTAGACAAGTTAATTGAAGTGGAAGAAATTAAATTTTAAAATGTTTCACATTTCTTTAATAAGAATTCTCAAATAAAATAAATATAGCCTACCTACGTCCTTTCATTTGATAATATATTACTTCACATGCAGTTAAAAAACAATTATATACAGTATATATATATATATATATATATATATATATATATATATATATATATATATATATATATATATATATATATATATATATATATATATATATATTTATTTATTTATTTATTTATTTAAGGAATAACTGTCTTATTTTTTGGATTCATGATGTGATCAATCGAGTGGCTTGCGTGATAATTTGCATAAACGCCGAAGGCGTTTATGCATAAAATTATCACGCAAGCCAATCGATTGATCATCGTCATGAATCCAAAAAATAAGACAGTTATTCCTTACATTTACATGCTCCTGATTTTGCAAATTCCCGTGCTAATAGCCCCGCTTCTGTCTCTATTTGTCCCGCCCCGCACGTGATTTTTTTTTAACCGCGCCTATCGATGAACCAGTAGATTTATGTAGAAATAAAGTATTTTTACAATTTGTAATTTTATCTCGGACAAAGACATTGGAAATGTAATATATATATATATATATATATATATATATATATATATATATATATATATATATATATATATATATATATATATATATATATATATATATATAGTATGATTTGATATTTGCGTTATCTAACGAGTTGAAATGGTGTATATTAGCGAGACTTGCCCAGTGAATATACAGTCGCCATTTCTACGAGTTGGATAAAGCAAATATCAAATCACATAATTCTAGATGTTCTATTTATCTCAATACGATTTTAGTTTTTTAACAAAACTTTGAGATAGCCCCTGTGAAACTATGTTGATTGATTTTTACCCAGATCGATGATCTGTAAATCGATGACTTCGCAATGTTGATTAACATGTCGAAAGAAAGTTATCTGTAGATACAAAATAAGAAATATTCGAATTATATATCTGCTGCGTCTTTTAACGCAAAAATTGACAATCTGTTGGAAAATTTATTTTGATGCAAGCTTTTGACTAGAAATTGCAGTGTTGTAAGGACCGACGAATCATGAATCTACGTACTGTATAGGGGGAAAATAACTCGCGGTGTTAATATTCGCTATATTCACAGTGTTAATAAATCCGTGAATTCAAGAAACAGTGAATAAGTTTTAAATATTAAACCTCGATGTTTTATTTGGAAATATGAGAATAGACTACGATAGGTATATACATGTATACGTACAGTACATGGTCATTCAGTAATTACGAGTATAGTACTCGTCATTCAATTATCTTAATTATCACGCTTTACTTTATTTCAAATAAGCAGCGAATTATTCAAAAGCTGTTTTAATAGATACATGTTTCATCAGTCAAAACGCATGGGTCATCGGTTTTGATTACCCGTGCGTAACGTTACCACGTGTATTTGTTACCTGCATTAGCATTATGCGTATTAGTTTTTATGGAAATTTTGGTTTAGAAAATATTATTCGAATAACTATCGAACTTGCTGAAGATATGGAAGGATATCATTACGTCTACTTTTTTAATACATTGATCAGCGTCCAGTGGTTTTTTTCGCTGCGATGTGTTATACCTTCGGAAAGATGTACGTACACATGCACTTATAGGAAAGTCATTTGACGTTTATAGTAAAAAAATTGTTTTGATTAATCATCAATTAACTACTAAATCTAATCATTTTATATAAACCTACCCTGTTCGTGAAGTGAATACATAACGCTGATAATTGTCGTTCTAGCTATACTATGGATTACACGGATAAAGACAAAGGAGGTAACTTTTATCGTATACCGATTCCGCGAATTCAACAAACCGCGATCGTGTCCGAGGAGAGAAAAACGTGAAAATTACAACCCGTGAAATTAATCCCCTATACAGTATACTCCGAAATCATTCTGTGTACGGCGGCAGTGCTAAAAGCCTCTTGGTGATCTATGCATGGTAGATTATAAAGTTTAATGTAAGAAAGCATTGTTGAAAGTGACTAGACTTTCCTGCATGGTCAAATGAATCTTGAACCAACAACTTCACGCAGTACAGTTAAAGTCAAGATCTAGTAAATGACTTTAAACTGTCTTTTTGGTGCTAGATCCATTATGACGTCATAATTGTTTTAAGCTTAATTTTTCCCGTACTTTATGGCTTTAAAGAATTGTGTAGCAAATGAAGGATTTTCAATGTATTCAATTTGAAATCATGTCAAAAGTAACCCCGATATCTATATTCAATTTAATATCATTTTAAAATAGAGGTTAAGAAGAAATGAAAAACCGTTTTCTGAGAAACTGTAGGCAATATTGATACATTTCTTTTATCTGAGATGGAAAAAACTCCTAAATTTATACCTGACTTTCTTCGTTTTTCATTAAAAATTACAGTTTAAAATATGTTTTTTCGTCTAGTTTATCAAAAAATTATGTCCCGAAACACCCTATTTTTGTAAGCCATATTTGTAAAGGATCATAAAAAGAACTCGTTTCTCAAATTTGAAAAATTTGTAGGCATCTTTCATTTACTAGATCTTGACCTTAAGGTGCGCAATGGAAATATCGGCGATTTTTTATGAAACAAAATATATTCTTTTTCAGGATGGCGATTCTTTTTATAGTTCTTTACTAATATCGGACAAATGTAATTATGGTTATTAACAACATATTGAGGACGATTAGATTTTCTATTTAGACTTGTCACGTGAGGTGGCAGTCACGTGATTTTAGCACATATACTTGCAGTATTGATATAAATGTCAATAGTGCAAGGGCATAACCAAGTTAAAATTCAAAGTTGATTTTTTAAATAGTTTCAACACCCATTATAGTTTATGGAAAGTGCTGCGATCCTATATAGATTCTACTATTTCATTGTTAAAATCATATTTGTATGAACGCATACTGAATTTTTTGCTGATCAGCTTCATTAAATATAGAAATAATTAATTTAGTTTCAAGATTTCAACAGGATCACAGTAATTTTCAAATAGCTTAATACTTCTAGAGTTTATGATTAAAAACTTGTCATGATCCATTGAGGGTATGCCCTTGCACTAGATCGATTTGTTAAGACCCTTAGATCATCCTCCAAAGTGGGGTTTAACTATATAACAACAAAAACGCATGTTATTGTAAGTTTTGATGTAGTTTAATTGTCTTCTACAGTTAAAAAAAATCGCAAATCACTTCATTTTGATGTATTTGTAAGGATTGTTAGTTTTGTGTAATGTCATAGTTAATATTTCCCGTAAAAATTAGGCCCCGCCTCCTTTTTGTAGCCTTAACTGTGCTGCGCACTCCTGGGCCTAACGTTTTCTATGAGAAGGATATGGGGGGGGGGGGGGTTATTGCTATCCGTTTTTGTTCGTCGTGCATCGCTTGTCGTGCGTTAACATTTAAACATTTTTAGCTTCTCCTCTGAAACCGCTGAACTACATGCAGCATCTATGGGTAAAGAGGAACAGAGATTGTGATTTTCATGGTCTCTGACCCCCCTGGGACACGAGAGATGGTGCTAAAACCACCAAAATTGATGCAAACTTTAAAATTCTTCTTCTTTAAATTTACTCCTGGACATCAAGCAGTCAAACAAACTGTTGGCATGAATGTAATAACTATTTAAGCTCTCTACCAAAATTGAGAATTTCATAGCCCCTGGGTCAGAGGTTCTGGTGCTAGGGCGAGGCTCTAATGATTCTGTAGTGAAAATGAATTAATTTTTTGAAAAAAATTTCTCCTCTGCTCCTGGGAATTAAGCCGATGAACTAAGTACATAGTTATCCTGAGGAAGAGTGCCTCTTCCAAACTGTGAATTTCATGGCCCCTGGGGTTAGGGTCTCTTGTGCTTGGGTGGGGCTTTATTGATTAGTTAGCAAAAATGCATTAATGCTTTGAAAATCTTCTCCTCTGTCCCTGAGTACTAAGCGAACAAGCTGCATTAATATATCAATATAAATGTCTTACGAGGGGTGATCAAAAAGTTCGCGAACTATCTCTATATTTACAAAACCACAATTCAGACCAGAATGAAATTTGGCATACATATACATGTAGTCAAATACATGTTCTATAAATAACATATATCATATGTAATGTTTCGCTCCATGTTTGTGACGTCACAATTTGAAAATGACGTCAATATGTAGATGACGTGACAAAAAATGGTTTACACAGTGGTACAAATTTAACTCATGGTTAATTTTTTTGCGCCATGGTTAAACGAGCTGCGCCATGATCAAAATCTGCAACCGCCATGATTAAATTTTTATCGCATTTCAGTACTAACACCAACATTTTAATGACTTGAGTAGTTAATTGTTTTTATCTCACATGAACCGTCAACATATTGAAATTCCTATATATTGAAATTAGTATTCAAAAAATGGTGATATGATCACGTCAATTTTTTTTAACTTTATGATATTTTCTTATGACTGTAACAAAAATTATTGAAAATGTTCGCGTTTTCCTGGGACAACTTCCTTACACGTTACTGAAACTATTACATGCGTGCATGTATTTAGATTTCTGAAGTTTTTTTTTATGATTCAAAACAAAAACTAAATAATACACAATTTAAATTAGTAAAATCTGTCTGTGATTAAAAGATGTATTGCAAATCCGTGTTTCGATTATGAGACACATGCATGCATATGATTACTTGACTTAAAAGTACTGCATGCGCGTGTACGTAAATTGACGTATTCAACATTTATAGCAATCGTTTGGGTATTGAGTGGTTGGCTTAATGATAAATTATAGCTCTACACACGTCCATGCCGTTTATTGTAGTTATTTATGATTTATTAACGGTATTCGTGAATTAGCGCATCGTTGTCCACGCCAAAGCCGCTGAAATATGAAGCTCGATTTTTTTAGTACGCATACGGTATTAAGATGTGTCAGTATTGGTTCCTTTATTACGAATAATATCTAGTTTA